TCTGGTCCGGGTCCATGTGGACTAAACTCAGCAGGCACAGTCCTGTCGCCTCACAGCCACAAGGTTCTGGGCTGAACCTGGTTCATGTCCTGCAGGTGCTCATGCGACAGGCCAGAGCCATGCATGGCGGGGTGACGGGTACTGGTCCGCCTCGGCCCAGCAGGCCCGGGACAGCCTGCTGACTGGTGCTGGCTGCACCCTGCCCAGCGCCAGCCGGGACAGCCTGCAGCCCCCAGCGACGCTCTACAGGATGACCTCACATCATTTGCTCCAGGTCAGGAGCTCCAACAGGCTCCGTGTGACCTCCAGCATGTTGCTGAACAACACACCACATTAGCAATGCATGCTGGGACAGGACAGTAAAACCACAGAAGTCCTGTATCTAAGAAACAAATCAGACTTCTGACTGTGACATCTGGACCAGATGTTGGAAATCTTTGGTCGTGTAGTTTTGTTGTTATTTTAATTACAGGTAAAACGAGTTATAAACGCAGATTCAGTATCTGGAACACCTTCACGGCCGACAACAGACGGAGAAAATGAAATAAAAATGGACAAAGCGTGACCTTAAACCCAGAAGCTGCTGCTGCTGCTCACCTGCTACCATGACATGACTGGACTGTTCTGAGGATTCTGAGCAATCTGCTTTCTGTCTGATTCTAATGAATAAAAATGATGTTATTGATCCTGGAAGGCATTTGAAATGTTTTTTCTCTCTTCCTCCCTCGTCAGGATGTTGATGTACGACTGGAACTCAAACATTCGTGCTGAAGGAAGAAAGGAAATCTGTTTTAACACCAAACGCTGTGAACAAGCTCCCGTTAGCTCGTACTGCTGGTGGCGGCGGCGCTACCGTCGATGCTTCACACTGTGGCGGTTCCACATGGACCAGCAGTACGCTACAGGACCAGCTCAGACCAGCTCCCTCTATCTGCCTCCGTCTCCCCTCTGCTCTTATCTTCCTCATGTCATCCCGTCTTTATTCTCCAGTGCCGTGTTCTTAGCATGTGTCCGTCCCGTGTGCCCTCCAACCAGCTCATCGGCTCTGTTTCACTCCAATCAACAATCAGATCATATTCAAGGAAGCGTGATTGGCGTGACCTCGGAGTTTTCCTCGTTTTATTTCTCCTGGTGACGATGTTTTATGAAGGAGCTGCCATTTGTGTTGCCAGAGTTTCCATTTCAGTCAACATGAATCAGCAGCTGGAGGGAGACGATGAGGCCGTTTCTCTGCTAATAGTCTGATGCAGCATCTGAGCATTTACACATCTCAGGGCAGCTCCTGAGGTTTTATCGATGACTCATTCCGACTCATTGATGCTGTAGGTTTAGGATGGCTTCAGCTCCGGTGATGACGGCACGTTTGGGTTCCTGAGTCTTCTTGTTCAGGGATGAAGAACATCTCCTGGTCTTCTTCAGTCTCATCACCACCGCTTCCATCGAAGATGATTCAGTTTATGATCACAGTGTCTGGCATGATTTAGATCCTTGGATGAGTGATGAAAGAACAGGGACTTGACACAGAGGAAGGATAACTTCTGCAGCATCAGCCGCCTCCTGCAGAGCTTTCTGTCTGTTCCCCTCTACGGCTGCTTTACACTCATTTTCTTTCTCTGCTGCTGAAATGACTTCTTGTTTATTTCATGTTGCCTCGTCTGTTTCTCCGTCTCGTCTCGCTCCACCCCCCGCCATCCCTCCACCGTCTCCCTTTCACTTTCCATCTCCTCCAGACAACATCGACTTGTGTAAATGTGAGCCTTGTATCTGTTTGTTTGACTCGCTCTGTGGATGTTTTCTACCCTGTTTCTGATTGTCTTTGTTCAGCAATGCACTGCTGTCATTAATTATGAAGTCTCAAATGGATTTCCTATACACCCCATGTCACACACACACACACACACACACACACACACACACACACACACACAGAGGTGGTGTGTGTCTTCCTCTGCGTGTGCGTTTCCTACAGATCGAGTCAGCCCTAACAGGAGAGTTCATTCCTCCTCCATGCCTCTACGGCACCGACTACGTCTACACGTGCACACATGTGTCGCTGTGCACGTGTGTGCGTGTGCATGTGCTGCACGCTCTGCACCAAGTGAGGCAAACCCCCGGGAATCCTGTCAATCAAAGTAGCTGGCAATTTGTCAGAGAAACAAGGCCCTCTGCAAGACCGACAGACATGTGTGTGTGTGTGTGTGTGTGTGTGTGTGAGGCTGTGCGACGCCGACTAGCGACGCTACTGCTCCTGTTACCACATCACGCCGTGCAGCGTTGTGGTTTTCTCTGGACCGGCTCTGTGCGGTCCACTGTGGACCGGCTCTGTGCGGTCCACTGTGGACCGGCTCTGTGCGGTCCACTGTGGACCGGCTCTGTGCGGTCCACTGTGGACCGGCTCTGTGAGGTCCACAGTGTTGTGAGCGTGTGTGGATGTGCCGCCCGAAGCCCGTCTCCACAGAATCACATTCCCAAATAGCTAATCTGCAGTTCTCTCAACGTTTTGATGGAATCGTCTCGTATGTTCATCACATCACGTGATGTGGGAAGTTTGAAACAGTTTGTGGAAGGAGGGAAGCAGAGACCAGTCACCAGACCCTGACCCATGTGATGGGGTGTCGTGGTCCATGTGGGACCACCAGCAGCAGATTCAAGTCTCATTTTCAGTTGTTTGCAACAGCCACAACAGTACCAAAACCACTTGGTTAATGGTAGGAGCACTTCTTAGTTTGGGTTCAGATACGACACCTCCACTCCTCTGAAGCTTCTCCTCCATTTTCTGGGTCAACAGGGCGACGAGTCCGTAGAGTAGAAGCACAAACATGCTGACCTGCTACAAACCAACATGCAGTTTGGTCGTACAGGAACACTACTTCTCAAAACACACACTCTCATAAACACACACACAAACCTAAAGACAGAACTATTTGTTTCTGATTCCTCCCTCTATTCATAGCCAGTATTCCCTCAAGCGTTGCCTTTTCACCTTTTCGCTCATTATTTTTCCTGCTCTCTCTCCGTCTCACTTCAGTTCTGCTTCTCCAAACATACAGGAATTAAAATAGATTCAGTCTGATCAGGAAAACACACTGGACACACTCAGTTCAGTCAGTGGGCTGCAAGAAGTTCAGACAAGATGGATG